AGTGAGAGAGATAGACAGAGAGTAAGTAGAAAGAGAAAGACAGTGTGAGAGAGAGAGAGGGAGAAGTAGAAAGAGAGAAATACAGTGAGCGAGAGAGAAGTAGAGAGAGAGAAAGGCATTGAGAGAGAGAGAAATAGAAAGAGAGAGAGAAGGACAGTGAGAGAGAGAGAGAGAGAGAAATATATAGATCACAATATTGCTATTGATATAGAGATAGTGTAAATATACAGTGACATTTAGGATGATATCTTAATGAGAAGGGATCGCAAATTTGGTCTGAAATTTGTTTTGTATAATGTTCGACCTTTGTTATTTCTGGAGAATCATTAAGTGCATTGACAAAGGATTTTTTTTTTTTTTGAAAAATAAAGAAAAAAAAATCCGTTTAAACTGAATTTCTCTACCTGAAGGAACTAACACATAAATTGGTTGCCATACTTTCATATATATGAGTATTTATGCATCAGAATACGTGCTGTTATATTAGAACAGATAAAGAAAATTTTTTGGTAAATTTGTCCTACACATACAGTTACCTATATGTTCGTGAATGTATCAACACTTTCATTTTTATTGTTATAATTATTATTGATGAACAATATAGCAGAAATTGTATATACATATATATATATATATATATGTGTGTGTATGTGTGTGTGTGTGTGTGTGTGTGTGTGTGTGCGCGAGTATTCGTGTGTGTTTGTTTGGATGTGTGTGTGTTTGTGTGTATGAGTGGACGCGCGCACACGAAACAAAATCATCTTCATGTATGAGCGTGTTATTAGTTTTGTAGTCATGCAACTGACTTATATAGGCGAAAGTATAACTGCAAATTCAGGTATATTTCATGTATTTATTGCGCGTAAATATGTAGAAAGAATAATAATAAAAAAAAAAACCTATGCGAAATAAATAAATGATGAATGCCGATAATAATCCCAAAAAGAAATTGTTTATCGAAAAAGAACCTGCCATTGTCAGAACTTGCAGGAGATACAACCAAATTAAATGAGCCATATCAAAAGCAAACCAAAAAATTTTCTGCTTAGAATTACAAACGCCAATCTCTCTCTATATATATCTTTTTCTTCCACTCCTTCTCCTTCTACCCTCTCTCTCCCTCCCTCTCTCTCTCTCTCGTTCTGAATGAGGATCAAGAAAATGGGAGAACTTTCATTATCAAAGAAGAAAAAATAATATGCATTATGATTTCAAACAGCTTCCGCCTGTTCACTATCCCTGTTAACACATTGTTAGTATGTTCTACAGGTTATATATATATATATATATATATATATATATATATATATATATATATATATATATATATATATAAAAGTGAACATTGAAGTCAACACTTAGAGGCGACCGTCTGTTTCATACAAGACCCAATCTGTTGGGGGATATTTTATTTTAACTGTCCCCTCGCTAATTTTATTTACACGTCCCTTCCCTCGTTACAAGTATATATACTTGTTTGTTATTTTAGTGTGTTTCCCCTCTTTTTTTTTTGCTCTTCAATATCGTTAATATTCTTTTCGCTAATCCAACGATTGTCTCCTGATGAGATGTTGGCTGAAAGGGACCTAGAGACTTTTAAAATTAAAATCAATGGTTTCCTTGTTTTTTTTATAAATATATATATATATATATATATATATATATATATATGGACGCTCAGGCCTACATCCAGTGGCGACAGTCTGTTTTCATGATTGAACGAAATATCCAGGCCATATGTACCCACAAGTTCGAGCTTAGAAGAATGCTAGAATTTGGAATATTGGTTTTCAAGACATAATAATTAGCAAACTTGTCTCGTAGATAATTGAGTAACGAACTCGGCTCTTATTTGTTATCGCATATTTCTAGCCGTTTTCCAAAACCAAGCAAATCTTAGAATATATATATATATATATATATATATATATATATGAGCCGTTTCTTTATAAGGAAACATTCGGCATTCATTGACTGAGTAGCCAGTGCTACTGTCTTTTGAAATTTATAAAATCTTTCTCTTAAAACAATTTTTCAAGAAAACAGATTTCTCAAGTCCAATATATGTTACCGCTCTTTCCAATATTGATGGGAGTTTCCTTCCTAAACTTTTGTTTGAAGTAGTGTGGAACGTCAACATCTTGATTATGTCATTAGCTTCTCTTTGTGTTACATGTGATTTCCATTTTCGTTGTGGCTGCTGTTGAGAGTCCTCGTGTGGTGTGGTTTCTGTTATTTGGTACAGTTCTTTGTATTGGGATTCTGTCGCACTAGTCCAAAAGGATCGAAGAAGCTTCATTCGCTCGAAGCCATTTTTAAACATTGATCCAAGAAATCGGTTGTATAGAGCTGACAGTTTAGATATTTCTGGACGTGTTCGGCGTCATGAACATATGAAAGTTTCGATCTGAGAGCAACAGACCATATATGGAAGTATTATTGAATACACGGATGAATGGTAGATTTATAAATGTGCAAGATGGATTCTGGCGAGAGAAAT